GTTTCTCCATAGTTGATAAAACTGTTTTAGTGCAGCAATAATTGAGCTGCTCTCTGTTCCTTCTGCATAACTTCTTGATATTTATTTATTGTTCATATGCAGAATGTCTGCAGAAACCACAGCAGGTAGTGTCTGTCTCCTGGATCAGCCTTTCTGATTGGTTGTCGCTGCGGCGTCCAGCAGCAAAAGTTCAATTTTCTGAACTCCAGCGTCGGACGCCAGAACGCTCTGACCCATCACTGAACCCCTCCACGCCGTCCCCATAGACTTTGCATGTAAACCAGACGCTTTGAGGCCCAGAACATTCCCGGTCTGAACGCAGCATTATGACTATTTAAACAATTAAAGTTGCCATCTTGTTTCCTCAACCTTGGGATTATTCTGTGCTTAAATCTGATGTTGCTGTACCAACAAGTACATGATGGTGTTAGGATTGCTGTCCTTGTGGTTTGTGTTTTTGTGTTTGTCTCCCTTCCTCCGCCAGTAGGCGCCTTGTTCTGGTTTGCCTCCTCATACACCTGCTGATGGTTACCTCATTAACGGAGTGTTCTTGAGCTGCTGACTGCCACTACCTCGACGCCAGAGTGTTGCCAGTTTTGGGTACTCTAGCCAAGCTGAGTTTTTACTGATTCAAACTGAGTTTTGTCAACCTGAGTCCTAATCGAGTTATTTTGTCTTTGCCTCTCAGCAGGAAGTCATCCTGCAAACAGGATGTTTCGGACCTTCTCTACCTGGAAGGATAATCTCAGCTTCAAACTGAGCTGGGGTTCAAACTGGAGGTTTGGATCTACTTTCCTCCAAGGGATCGTTTGAGCTTCACACTGAGCGAGGGATTAATCTCCACACCAACCCGTTCAAGTACGCAGGAAATCCAAGTGGCAGTCAGTTTCTCCGTTCACCTACAAGCAACCGCATTCTTGGTAAACCCTGTCCGCCCTCCACCGAACGAGACAAACACTGGAACTACCGCACACAGACTGGAATCAAAGAGTCAACCACTTTTCTGAAAACGTGAGTCAGCAACCTAATTCTTCTCTTCAAAGTTCAAGAATCAGATTTCCCACTGAGCCTGAACTAACCGCAGTGTCTTCCCCTCACTTTTCAGTTCCTGTTGAGCAGTCTTCAGAGCAACGCAAGATTCTGCATTATCTCCTCAATAAACCTTTTCCCTGGTCTCTCTGAATTGGTTTCTCTGCATGTGGGTCCGAGCTCTTGATAAAATCATGACAGATGGACTCAACAACAACATAGGGTTTCGAGGAAAGTCCTTTCTAATGTGTGTTAGTTTGTTTGAATGTTTCTTCTTCTGGTTTTTCAGATGCAACTTTTCAAGCCTAACAAAAGCTGCTGCATACTTTTTAGAAGGGAGGCTCGCTCTTTCTTTCTTTCTTTAAGTTTATTTGATGGGAAGAGACACACATCAACCTAGAAGAACTGAACAGAACGGCAGTCCCATGTCTGCATCATAGTGCAATAGGAACCACTAATTTGCAGCACTTAGATGGACTTTTAAAACGTACTTCTTATAATTATGATGTAAATCCTTTATATTCCCTTTATTGTCCCACAATGGAGAAAATTCCCTCTCTGCATTAACCCCTCCCCTTGGGGAGCAGTGAGCTGCCATTGTGCGGCGCCAAGGGAGCAGTGGGGGGTTAAGGGTCTTGCTCAGGGACCCAGAGTGCAGGCTGTGGGGATGGAACCGGGGACTTGCAGCCTTCTCAGAGCACAGAGCACTGCTCTAACCACTGACCATCACTCTACAAACAAACTGTGAAACATAAAAACATCAAAAATGGTTCTAGTTCTGTTTTTAGGATAACCAGGGTTTTATTTGTTTTTCGAACATACTAAAACTGGTTACAGACTTTAAATCAGCAGGAAGTGACTTTCAGCCCCCATCATAAGTCCCATCTAACGCCCGAGTGTTTTCAAAACGGTTCAGCGTTTAAAAGTAAATCGCCTTAAACAAAAAAACAACCTGTGGATGTAGATGGAGCCCAGATGGCAGCGGTTCAGAGAGAGCGCTAACGTTCCTGGTGGGGCCAGTGAGGAATTTATTATTAGGCATTAGGGCCCCATAAGACTCTGTTTACATGTATGGTTAATACAACTCAGATTTCAGCTTTCAAACCTACAATGCAGCAACTGAGTTGATTCCTTCCTGCGATCATTGCAACCCAGTTAAACCCAGTTCAGCCAGGCCAACTATTCCCTCTAACGACCCCCCTTTCAGAGACATAGACAGGTATGGGGCATTGCAGGCTAACAAAGAAGCTGAACCACCCCCATTCCAAAGGGGGGGACCCGTTCATCCGTTTCTATTTGCATGTTTTCTAAACTAAAACCAGGCTTTGTTGGGCTGCTGGATAAAACCTGGAACTAAACGCTATTTCTGACATTTTGAGTTAAAAAATCTTCCTGGATGGAAGAGAAACGTCTATAAACTGGGAAACAAAGTCCAGAGGATTGATTTTTTAAAACTTTTTTGGAACATCAACGGGAAACACACAATTAATGGACACACAGGGTGAAAGTGCGAGTGTTTAGACACGTCCATTCTATGCTTTTATCAAACACAAGAAAAGCAGGGGAAGCTTGTCAGAGCAATCTGATGCCAACTAGTGAAATTAATCAGCTCCTCAGGGTTTTAAAAACATCACGGCTTTATGGTTAACAAACAGCATCCTTCAAGAAGGGAAGCTTTGATGGATTGTTTCAATTAGTTCCTGGTTGGGACAGTTTTACTACAGCGACATGTTGCACTCACACATCAAAGGCGCTTTCACCTGAAAGGTTTCAGTCTGTTTCTGCTGTTTGCCTATAGAACAGTGAAAAAGTCTTCTTAAAAGCTATTATCAAGAGGCCTAGAGGCTAATATCGCCATGACTACAGAGGAGACAGAGCATCGAGGCACCTGATTATTAATAGGCAAATGTACGAGTGATGCTGCGTCCTCATAATTTGGTCAAACAGCGGCTCTGACAGCCGAGCCCAAACCTCCGTATCACAGATTCTAATTAATATGGTGGCATCCTGAAACCTTCAGCAGTCTTCCAACTGTTATCTGCAGCGTCTCTGGGGAAGAGTTGATCAGACCTGACTCAGTCTGCTGTTCGCCTGTCTGCGTTCTCGCTCTGCGCTCAATGAAATGCCTTCAGTAATTAATTTGGAGCCTGTCTGACACCTCCGCCTTGTTTAGGTCGAATTCATTAACAGGAGGAATTTATTAACTAGTTGGTGTGATAACAAAGCCCCAGACTACATCAGCCGCTCCGATGAATGAAAACTTTTCCTCTGCCTGTGAAGAGCACTGTGCTGCGGTACTGCCGCTGTAGATCAACGAAGAAATAAAAACATGACAAAGAGTTCATTTCCACTGAAAATATAGAACTATTTTGCTAGAAGAGAAACACGAGTCAATAAAAAGTAGAGCTGAAACAATTAATGGGATTAATCAATTATTGTCAACTAATTTATTAATCGATTAATCATTAACTGTAGTATAGCGACTTTAAACATGCCTTTAGCTGACAGAGGGACTCACTGAGAGCAGGAATTAATCAAAATGATTAAAAAAGCTACAAAAAAAAAACATTTTCTTCTATCAATCTGCTCTATTCAGAACTCCTCAAGTGGA